TGGACAGAGGAAGGATCGTAGAGATTATTCTTGTTATTAGTAAGCTCTGTGATCACATTGATGCTCGTTTATCAGAGCATGAATTAAAGAATGGTCTGCATCTGATATTGAAGCACTGAGTTATGGATAAGCAGACATTTGTTCACTGGCACAGAAATATGAGGCCATTAATAGTCAATATGCTGAATGCAAGAACATAAAGCAAGAAGCAGACTGACCATCAACCTGGGCTAAGTCAACAACCACTGGAGAAGTGAGAAGAAAAAACTGTAATTAAATATTTTACAAGAATTTATTCTGTATCACAACATTTCATTGTGCAAAATGTGAATAATTTTAGTATTTATGTCTGAAAGGTGTAATGTCTCAATTCTCACCCTGGATAAAGCAGGACTCTCATGAACAGCAATGATTTCTTCTTTTCATTTTAATTCAGCAAATCACTGAAATTAAAAGCAAACAAATGAAAATTGCTGATGTGATTTGATTCTTTTAATAAACCATGCAACTTTCTATGATCCCAGATTTATAATACTTGTGCTCTGTGCGCCACGCCACGCCACGCCACGCCACGCCACGCCAGGCCAGGCCAGGCCAGGCCAGGCCACGCCACGCCACGCCACGCCACGCCAGGCCATGCCACGCCACGCCACGCCACTCCACGCCAGGCCAGGCCAGGCCACGCCACGCCACGCCAGGCCAGGCCACGCCACGCCAGGCCAGGCCAGGCCACGCCACGCCAGGCCAGGCCACGCCACGCCACGCCAGGCCACGCCACGCCACGCCACGCCAGGCCACTCCACGCCACTCCACGCCACTCCACGCCAGGCCACTCCACGCCACTCCACGCCACGCCACGCCACGCCACGCCACGCCACGCCACTCCACGCCAGGCCAGGCCAGGCCACGCCACGCCACGCCACGCCAGGCCACGCCACGCCAGGCCAGGCCACGCCACGCCAGGCCATGCCACGCCAGGCCACGCCACGCCAGGCCACGCCACGCCACGCCAGGCCATGCCACGCCACGCCAGGCCAGGCCACGCCACGCCAGGCCAGGCCAGGCCACGCCACGCCACGCCACGCCACGCCAGGCCAGGCCAGGCCAGGCCAGGCCACGCCAGGCCATGCCACGCCACGCCACTCCACGCCACGCCAGGCCAGGCCACGCCACGCCAGGCCACGCCAGGCCACGCCACGCCACGCCAGGCCAGGCCAGGCCACGCCAGGCCACGCCAGGCCACGCCAGGCCAGGCCACGCCACGCCACGCCAGGCCAGGCCACGCCACGCCAGGCCAGGCCAGGCCAGGCCACGCCACGCCACGCCAGGCCAGGCCAGGCCACGCCACGCCACGCCAGGCCAGGCCAGGCCAGGCCACGCCACGCCACGCCAGGCCAGGCCACGCCACGCCAGGCCACGCCACGCCAGGCCATGCCACGCCACGCCACTCCACGCCACGCCAGGCCACGCCACGCCACGCCACGTACACTGATGATGCCCACAGTGGACCTCAGTGCGCTCAGGATGCTTGTGTGCCCAGACACATGAACACCTAGAGGGAACATTGCATACAGGTCTATAGACCACATTGACCAGGCAGGTCTATAGACCACATGGACTAGGCAGGTCTTTGTAGACCGGGTCGTTTGGAGGCTGCAGATCCTGAACTCTTTAACAACAAAATAAAAAATTAAAACAAAATCTAGAAACCATTTTAACTCTAAACTCGTTTCCATCTGATGAACCCGGATCAGAACTTCTGCTTCACCTGTTTGGACCTCCAGAACCTCCTATTTCTGTCGGGTTCTGTTAGGTTCTGTTTGGGTAACTCACGTTCCTCTGCGGTTCCGGTTCTGTTCTGCTCATCCTTCTTGGTGCAGCGCTGCATCTTCAGCAGCAGGAACCGCCGGCTGTGCAGCTGCTGAATCCGGAACTCGATGGCGCTCAGGCCCGTTGGACCGGCCCGATTCTCCTGGTCCGGTTCTGCCGGCCCGGCAGGTTCCGCTCCCATGCTGTCAGCTCTGCTTGGCCCGGGGCTCGGTACCGTCCTGAAGGTGTGGAGGAACACGCCGTCGTCCTCCTCGCTCTCCATTCCTGCTCAGCAAACCGGACTTCCAGAACCAGAACCAGAACCTCCAGTGGTTCTGAATCGATCTGGGATCGGAGCAGTGGAAGAACCGGATTCTGGAACTATTCCAGGTCGGATCCGGAGACGAGAATCTTCTGAAAATGATCCTGAAGCTAAGGAGAGGAAAGCTGAGCGGCCGGGTCCGATTCCAGCCAGAACCGCTCTGCTGCCGGCGCCGACGGGTCCATTTGAATCCGGTAAACAGTGGTAAACAAATGAGCTGCATGCAAATCCTGCAGCCGCAGCGTGACACCGAGCAGAACCAGAACCCACAGCATCACACTCCACCACCGAGCAGAACCAGAACCCACAGCATCACACCGCCACCACCGAGCAGAACCAGAACCCACAGCATCACACCGCCACCACCGAGCAGAACCAGAACCCACAGCATCACACCGCCACCACCGAGCAGAACCAGAACCTTCCAGAGAGCCGTCAGTCTGACTCACTATTGATTATTGATCAGTAATTGTTCAACGCAGGGCGTGAAACTTTCTGTCAGCTGAGTTTGAAAATAATAAAAATTTTAAAAAACATAAAAATGGACAAAATTATTAGAATAAACGGTAAAATGTTTCCAGAAGGATAATAGCAATAATTCTCAATAAACTTTAAATTCCAACATTTAAAACCGAGAAATATTTAAATATGAAAATAAACCAACAGATAGAAAGAATTATGAAACAAAAACAACAAAGTGAAACTTTAATCTTCCAGTTTCTGGTAGAAATATGGAAAAAATTTGATTCTTTAAATGAGATAAAAACTGAAATAAATCTTTAATCTTTTTATTGTTCCAGATTTTTTATTTTCACACAGCAGAAATTATTTTACAGTGTAAAAGTTTCAACAGAGGCGTCCGGTGACCTTTGACCCCAAACAGTTTCAGACGATGTTTGTTCTGCCTTTTTGTTTGTGAGGACGTTTCACTGACCTTTGACCCTGAACTGGGTCAGTATCCTAAGAATCAACACGACTTTTATGTTTTATATTTACCTGATAATCTCACTTTAAAAGTAAATATTTATAGTTTTACATTTATTACAGCTTTATTTCTGATATGTTTATGTATTTAATGATATAAGAAGTTTATTAGCTTTAAATATTCTCACTAAACTTGTGATTAATAAAGATCAGTTATTATTTATAGGGAAAAACTAATTTTCTGATTAAATTATATTTTATCATCCTGGACATTTTAAAGTGTAAAACGTTTAATTTTCTTTGTTGCAAAAATATTTTTTTCCACATAAACTTTGTTTTCTATTTATAATTTAAATATAAGTTACATTTTCTGGATCCTTTTCACAAAACTGTTAAAAAACCAAAAACCTGCAGAAACTTTAAAAAAGAAACAAAATTTAATCTGAACGTTAAAAACAAAGTTTAGAAATTATTTAGTTCCTGGTAAAAATAAACTAAATAAATGTCTGTTAATGTGTGTGTGTGTATGTGTGTGTGTGTGTGTGTGTGTGTGTGTGTGTGTGTGTGTGTATATGTGTGTGTGTGTGTGTGTGTGTGTGTGTGTATATGTGTGTGTGTGTGTGTGTGTGTGTGTGTGTGTGTGTGTGTGTGTGTGTGTGTGTGTGTGTGTGTGTGTGTGTGTGTGTGTGTGTGTGTGTGTGTGTGTGTGTGTGTGTGTGTATATGTGTGTGTGTGTGTGTGTGTGTGTGTGTGTGTATATGTGTGTGTGTGTGTGTGTGTGTGTGTGTGTGTGTGTGTGTGTGTGTATATGTGTGTGTGTGTGTGTGTGTGTGTGTGTGTGTGTGTATATGTGTGTGTGTGTGTGTGTGTGTGTGTGTGTGTGTGTGTGTGTGTGTGTGTATATGTGTGTGTGTGTGTGTGTGTGTGTGTGTGTGTATATGTGTGTGTGTGTGTGTGTGTGTGTGTGTGTGTGTGTGTGTGTGTGTGTGTGTGCTGGTGCAGCAGGGATAAATCAGGTTTGTGTCGGGATCAGGATCTCGGCTCGGAGTCGTGGTTTCAGGTTCACTGCTGTCGTTCACACAGAAGCAGACATTGGACCAGCAGAACCAACACTTCGGCCCGTTTGGGGTTTTAGTCAGCAAAATTTGTCCAGAACGTCCGTCTGGATCAGAACCACCACGATGCTGATATTTATATCAGTCAAAGCCGATTATTATTCATTATTTAAGCTCAGATTTCTTAATTTGCCAACAGTTTTACATTGTTTTTGTTTTTTTCTACCTGCTTCAGTCCATCATTGATCTCACGGCTAGGAACCAGATTTCTGATCAATAATCAATAAAAGCTTCACGTTTTGATCTTCCTTTAAAGTCTCACTTTACATCCAACTGCACAACAAATCCTGATGGTTTTTCTGTTGTCACTCAATGTCAAATTAATTAGTACATTTGAACGTCACGCCTTTTATTATGTGACTTTAGCTGTGATGCTAATTAGACTCATTAGGCACTTAAGGAAAAAAACAGATTATTTAATATTCGTATGTTTCTGATTTTATTGATGCTGTTTTTTCCCAAACAAAACTTTAAAATGGAGTAAAAATGTTTTTGAACAACCATCAGTGTTTCAATAATGATTTCTGCAAATTCCAATCAGTCTAATGAGCTCCAAGACTTTTTTTTTCTAAAAATTAAATCAGTTTTACAAATTAATTTCAACATGCATTTTTTCACCATCAGTTTTCATCCTGTAGTGTTTCCAGTCCAACTAAATACTGAAAAATGTATTTACAAATCTGACCTAGAAGCTTTTACAAATATTCTGTCACAGTAAAGAATTGTCAATATTTACTTTGTAATCTACAGTGATCATTTAATTTGAAGATGCAAAGTCTAAATATTAACATAATTTACATTTCTACAGCCATGTTGCATCTTAGTTCTATTTCCATTCCTTAGACGCCTGGTGAATCCAAATCACCAAAATCAGAAATAAACTTTTGATTTTTTTATCAAATGTAGCAAAAAACTAAAATTAAGCCCGAATATATTTTTTATGCACAAGCCTAGTTTAAGAAAAATAAGATTTACTGAGTTTATGAGACAATTTAGCTCCCATAACATGCAGTTCCCACACCGGCCACTAGATGGTGTAAAAGTTCTTCAAACAGCAAATTAAGTCTGAGAGGCAAATGCAATAACCAACATTTATTGTGGTAATATTTTTTTTTGGCTGATTTCTCAGTGAGACCCAAACCTGAGCCGAACCGAAGGGTTCTGATCCAGTTCCGATCCGGTTCCTGTGATTGAGCAGCTCCAAATGTTCTCCTCTGACCTCGAAGGAGAAGAATGATGCACTGTGGGTAATAAAAAGCTTTTACAGTAGTGATGCTCATCAGCTGCTGGGTTCGGATGCCTTCTCCAACCGGGCCAGGCTGTTCTCTGGATCCGCTCAAAGCAAAGACTGGCAACCCGCTCCACTTCCTGGTGGGCGGAGCCTGGTGGGCGGAGTCTGGAGGTCAGATCAGGACCAGCGAACCCTGTGACCCTGCCCCTCACTGCAGGGTGAGTTCTGAATGAACTTTCACATTCTGAAAGTTACTTTTGATTTAAATCAAGAATCCGAAGACAGCAGAGACATTATTAAAGTTATAGTAACCCAAAACTTCATCCAATCATCAGCTTTAATGCATTTAGAAACAGGAAGTGAAGGAAAAGTTGGTTTTCTGAAGAGGTTGACATACAATATTTATTTAGGTTCACAAAAATGATAAGTTATTTATCAGGTAGTCCACAAATATTGTGGGAATGGTCTCATACAGTCATACAATGGGGAAAACATACATGAGAAACCATTAGGAACATTAGGCCCCGCCCACAAACTCACTGAACCAAATAAGGAACCAAACTTTGGGAAAAATGGGTCACATCCCACATTTTAGTCTAAAGAAACAGGATGATGGTTATTCCTCATCAATATGTCCATAATTTGTATTCTTAAAAAAAAGACCCTAAGCTATTTAAAATATCTCATTTTAAAGTCTCTGATCAAAGTCAAAAGCAAAACTGGAGAACCTGCTTTCAAAATATTGCGATTTTTCGAGGGTTGTTCCTGAAGCGTCCCTCGGCAGTGTGAGCGCACCAGCGGCTGGTCGCCTTCAGAGACCTCCAGTCCAGCAACGGGCGGGGAGGGGCATCATCCTGTCCCTGAAAGTAGTCTGTAGAGCCCCCGACTGCCCCTGCTGGCCATTTTCAGTTCTACACTCACATCTCTGTTTAATTTGGACTTTTTACAGCCAGATTCTGCTGGCGGGGCTTAAGGCGGGGCCCCAACTTCCCTGAGGCGGGGCCTTAAGCCCCGCCCTCCCGCCATAGGCCCCGCCCTCCCGCCATAGGCCCCGCCCCTCCTCTTGTATGCTCTCTACAAAAGATGTTATGCGTTGTGAAAACGTCATGCAAAAACTGGCATTTCTGTTTAAAAAGAGGGAGTAGTCTCGTTTTTAATCTCTAGTCATTTTAGCTGCGACTGTTTCACGTTTACAAAAGATCAACATAAAGCCCCGCCCACTTCCTGCGCCTCTCAACAAATAAAACGTCATTAGAAACAATAAGATAGAAAGATGATTTGTTGCCTTGAAGCCTCCTGCAGTCCAGGTGAGATGGCGAAAGGAGAAGTCAGCTGGTTGAAGAACAATCCCTGATTGGCTGAGAGAAGTCAGGTGACCACCAGGCCAGATGAGAAGAGGTCCCGCACTCTGACGGATATGGAGGCGTTTTGTTTCCTGCTAAACCCTAAATTATGCGTTTACATTAATATATATATATTTATACTGGAACTTTACGAATACACGTCTGATTACAGGCCGACCGCTCGCTCGCTCTCATGCGTCCCACATGCGTCCCACGCGCCACCAGTTGGTGATCAAATCTGAATCTTAAAGAATAAAAAAAAAAATTTAAAAAATCACTGCCTCGATTTTTCTTCATGCAGCACAGACGGTCGCAGGAACATAGAACAGCAGTGGGTAAAAAAAAAACACCGGCTGGAAAACACAAAGACTTGCTGCCTTGAAAGTCCTTGAAAGTCCTGGAACATGGTGGAGAATCCTTGGGCGTGACATGTTTTAAATTTCTCTTGTAATATTTACTGGTGATGAAACTAGAATCCTCGGCCTCGTTTCTCTCCAATCAGTTTTTCTTGGTTTGCGTAGATTTTTTCCGATCTAATCCGTTTCTCCCCATTATTGCCCCCCGCCTGATGATGTCATGGCCCCCTCACCGTGGCCATGACACCAGCGAGGCGGCGGGGGGCAGCTTCCAGTCCTTCATCTCTCCGCCTCCATGGCGACGCTGGCCTTCTGCTCAGCGCCTGCGTGCGAAGCCACGCCCACGGGCCAGGGGGGCGGGCAGGGCTGCGTGGGGGGCGGAGTCCAGAGTCCCTGCTGCGGCTGCGGCGCGTTGGGCGCGCCCCAGCCGCCCGCGCCGCAGCCGCCCGCGCCGCAGCCGCCCGCCTGGGGGGGCGGCGGCGAGGTGGCCATGGAGACGGCCATGGGGCTGCCGGCGCTGCTGGCGAAACTCTCGGAGGCTTTCAGCCGGGAGAACATGGTCAGCGCGTCAGGGAAGTTGGGGGGCGTGGCCGGCGTGTTGGCGGGGGTGCACATCTGAGGAAGAGGAGAGGAAGAGCGGGATTAACGACTGGCCGCACAGCGCCACCTGCAGGAAATACTCAATATTATAGTTGATTCCCTGAAACTGAACTACAATAAACTGCAGAGATAAACTTTATTTCTACTGAATTTTTTCATCCACAGGAAAATAAATTTTAATAAAAACAGGAAGAGAAGCTGCAGGATTTATCTTCACAATGAAACATTAATTTTTCCTCGAATATTCATTTTCTGATTGTTTGTGATGGAAAACATTTTCTTAAAGTTTGATATATTTGTGTTTGTGTACAACAGTAAATATGGCTTTTCGTAATATGAATTACAGACAAGACAGCAGAGAGGAAAGAAAGAAATACTGCCACCTGTAGGTGGGAGTTAGAATCACAAACATGGCGACGAGTTTGCAGAAAATTTGGTTCAAACAAAAAGAAAATGAACCTCAAAAATTATTAGTTTTTTCTGGATTTATTTATAGATTTATTTTCAAATTACTTCACACACATATATACATATGCATTTTATATTTCTTATGGTTACAGTTTCATTAATATTCAGTAAGCAGTAGTTTGTTCAATAAATAATCGGGTCATCAATACAAGATCAATAAGCAAACTGTATTGGGTCATTGCTTGTAGAGGAAAGATTTGACCAGAAGGACTATTACTTTATGCATTTTATTTGTAATAAATGGAAGAGAATCTGAGCTTTATGATCCAACCTGATTTAATACAATTTCCTCCGTTTGTTATTTGATTTTGCTCTGATTTTATTAAACCATAAGAGAAACATTTAGGTGAATCCAAAACGTGGAACGATGACGACAGAAACCAGAACCAGAACCGCCCCCAGCGTTTATGGACGGATTCTGCTTATAAGTGGCGGTTCTGGTTCTGGTTCTGGTGGGAAGTTTGGGGGAATCCCGGCCCCTCTGTGATGATGCAACACCGTCTGAATGCACTTCCTGTTGCAGAAAAGCTTCAAGCTGATAAATCAGGTCAACATGTGAACCAAATGAAGCTGTGAAAAAACACAGCGACCTTTGACCTCACAACCACCAGACGGGTCGGATTAACAGATTCAGCTTCAAAAGCAGAAAAAAGTTTGTTTTATGTATTAATAAACTCCATCTGGAGTTTATTTAACAAAACGGAGCTGTTTCCCACGGCGTGTTCAGCTGCAGGTTTCCCTCTGCACACCTCCAGAGGGAAAAAACTGATTTAACACGCAGCTCAGATCTTTGCTGCGCTTTGGATCCGGGTCAGAATAAACCTGAGGTCAGTGAAGATTCACTGGACCCGACCTGAACCGCCGACTTAGCCGAACAGGAGCACAGATCTACTGGTGTTGGGACGGAGACTGGATCGCGGTACCAGAGACACACACACAGACACACTGCTTCTGGTGGTTCTGTTGGGTTCGGATCAGAACCCCCCGCCTCATTTCCTTGTGACTTCACGCTGAAACGTGATGAACTGGATCTGTTTACAGTCGCAGGAAGGAGGTGACCTTTGACCCGTCAGCCCGACCTCAGGTGCAGGTTCTGATGCCAGTTGACCGGGATCAGAACCAGAACCAGCGGGTTCCTCATAGCGTCTCGGTGAAACAGAACGAAGGTTAAACCTTCTGGAGAATCAGAAACTGAAGGAAAAGTCAAAGCAAACAGAAGAAGAAAAGCTGAGTGACTGTCGGACCGTTGAGCGGATTGTTCTGATGTTTCACGTTTCGCTGATTTAAGGGCAACGTCTCACTGGCAGCAGGTCAAAGGTCACTCCAGGCTTAGGGTGACAGAATATTTAAATGTTCAAACACATTTCTACTCCAGACACTGAAGTAGCCGAGTCATCCTCCACTAAACTTTCAGGTTTCTCTGCTGATCGCCTCTCAACAGGAAGCTGCTTTCTCCCAGAGGTCAGTGAACGCATCGTCACCGAGGATCATTAGCGCGCTTTGGTTTCAGCTGCCGCCACCAGAGCCAACAGCGAAACATTTACTGGAAAAGACAAGTCTGGCAGAAACAAGCAGGTCAAAGGTCAATGTGAGACCAGGTATGTGTACACACTCACACACTCAGCCCCCCACACACACACACAGAGACACACACACACACACACACACACACTCTCTCTCTCTGCAGGAGTTTTTCCTTTCACTTCTAGACGTTGCTTCCAGTTTCATGATGACAACTCAGTTTGCTCTGCCGCTGGTAGAAAGTCGATTCTTTGTTTCTGATCCAGTTTTAACAGAAAATAATTTCAGATTTTCTTACAGGAATGTTTTTACAGTGAGGGCCAGGCCACCACTGTTACCAGATTAAAGAATGTATCAGAAAAAACTGTATAGATTAGAAATAATTCATAAAAACTTTCTACTGCAGACTGAGAGATGGAAGTGCTTACAAACGTCCCTGTTTAATCTGAAAAATGTTGTGCACCTTTTGCACACATCACACTTTTTAACCATTTTGGATTTTAAAACAAAATACATAAATAATTTTCCAGGATTTTCCTTTTCATAAATTTATTTTACCAACTTCAGCAGCTGCTGAAGAACAAGAATATTTGATTACTAAGAAGATAGTTTACAACTAACTTGGCTGCTTGTGTTTCCTGTTGTGTGTGTGTGTGTGTGTGCGTGCGTGCGTCATGCAGCCATGCCAAGCATTCAACCACATCTGAAGAGGCTTGGCCTGCACTCCCTGCATGTTCCAACATGTTACTCTGCATGTTTCCAAAAGCATGGCTTCCCAGAACTCTAACCACACACACACACACACACACACACACACACACACACACACACACACACACACACACACACACACACACACACAGACAGAGTTCTCTATGCCTCCACGTTACACTGCGTTGTCAGGACCAACACGTTTCCTGTCCTCACAGGAAATAAAACTTTTCAGTTTCTGCTGCTGGTCAGTCTGAGGAGATAAGCATCAGTTTCTGACTGAATCCTGTCTGGATCTGGTGTGTGTGTGTGTGTGTGTCATCACTCTGAGCTTTATGAAGGTAATTATAGGTCTGCTGCTCTCTGGGAGAGGAGAAAAGTTGGGATTTCTAGAAATCCTCCAGACGAAGCCACGCCTGGACACCCAGACCGTGTTTACCGTTACCAAAAACACACACACACACACACACACACACACACACACACACACACACACACACACACACACACACACACACACACACACACACACACACACACACCCCTCCTCCTCGTTGTTCTTCTCTGCTCCTGTGAGCAGCTGTGCAGGGACACGGCCTCACACCTACTTTATAACCTCCCATATCGTCTGATCCCGCCAAAATAAAAGCCTTTTTTCCCCTCCAGGCTGTAGTGTCTCCTGCATGACAGCAGGCTGACAGGAAAGGGGCAAGGAGAGGGAAAGACATGCGGCAAATATCGTCGGGTCCAGGAATGGAACCCGCGACGGCTGCGCCAGAGACTCAAGGCTTCCAAACGTCGTGCCGTCCCTACGCCACCAGCACAAAAAAAGACTTTTTTCTGATTATTCATATGTAAACAATTTTTCTGCTTCTTATCTTTAAAGCGCAGCACCATGTTGCGTTTAGGGGTCAAAGGTCACTCCATGACTAAAACATGATCATCACATTAAGCTGTGCAGCTCAGAATTGGAACCTTTACTGACCAATTCACACAGTGTGACGTCACCCCTCCAGCTCAGAGGAAGAATAAGGCTGCATTCAGTCACACTGCGACCCGTTTGGTCCGGCTGGGCGACCCGTTCGTGGTTCGTTTCTCTGAGTCGCATGATGCAGCACAAACGCAGAGGCTGCAGCACAAACGCAGAGGCTGCAGCACAAACGCAGAGGCTGCAGCACAATGCGATGAGATCAGCTGTTTTCACTGGATCGACCCGATCCAGATCTAAAGATCCTGTGGCTTTTGAAGCGTCGCGCTCTGAAAGTCACATTTTACCCAGCATGCATCACAGTTCAGCAGCAGGAGAATCCAGATGGTAAATCTGGACAGAATGTTCAATATCAGTCACGAGGATCATGAGGCGACGACCGCTACACTGCAAAACACAAAACGTTACCAGGTAGATTTTACTCGCCCAGGTTCCGCTTGTGGAACCGGTGATCCGCTCGCAGCAGAGAAGGGATTCATTTTCATTAGGTTCCTCCGCTAATTGAAATAAATAAAGAGATGAATGTGGTGTGTTCATAGTGCAGCAGCTGCAGCACGATGCTGCAGCAACAACTCAGAAGCTGCAGACAGAACAAAGAAGGTTTCTGTGTTCGTCTGCTGGGTGTTAGCTTCACCTCTGATCCGCAGGCCTACTGAGCGTGTCGAGTCAGAGGACCCGACACGCTCAGCTGCTGCAGCAGCGACTGCAGCAGCTGCAGGGTCTCTAGATGAGATATTTGTTAGTTGTTTCCACAAACTCAGATTTTCCTGTCTGTTTCTCTCCTCTCCTAACTTTCCCCAAATGTCAAAAGGAAGATATCCTTTAAAACTGAATGTATTTGCATGTAAATAAACTTTCCGGATAGTTTAACTTCTCTACTTTCACAGTTCTTCCTTCACTTCAGTCTCAGATTCTTCTGAGCAGCTGTCTGACCTGAATCAGGCTGTAAAAATATTAATTCATCCAAATATCTGCAGCAGCCATCACTAGTGATTCCTTCTGCCTGCAGAGCTGCAACATTTCCTGCGTTTTCGAATTCAACCCTAAACTGTTGAATCCAACGCCACGGCTTTGTTTTTCTCCGTTTGTCATGTTGAAGTGAAAATGTCAGG